TGACAACCATTTGCAGAGCATAATAAACGAAATAAAGTACCAGGAACTTCACAAGTTCCCCCGGACTCTATGCTTCCCCCTTAATCAGATCTTCCCCCTTTTGACATCATTAAAAATACACAAGCAAACAATCAACATAAAGAAATCTAGCCTAGCTAACTCATGCCACATGTGTGCTCACAACATGATAGAAAAGAGAAGCAGAAAAAGACAAGCATTTAACAGCAAAAGAGTCTTCATTGATTTTTATAAAACATAAGCCTTTTCCATTACAACAAAGGCAAGTTTGGACTGTTGAAAGCGGGAGCAGTACAGGTGAAATCTATTCACATCACAAAAAAGACAAAAACAACTACCACAAGTCATCAAAACAAAAGATAGAAACTTGACACTGGTCACTGGAAGATTTTCATAGGGGGCACTAGAGAAGGAAGGCTTGGAGGGGGAAACAAGAGTGTTGAGAACAAGGTCAATCCGAGCATTTGCAGACATTTGCTCTGCGAGCAGTTTCTCTCGCAGGTTCTCCACCTGTTGACTAAGCTCAGCATTTTCTTTAGACAGACGAGCAACTTCTTCACTTGATGAACTGGAGGGTCCTGGTGCTACTATAGCCTGACTAAGCTGAGTCTCAAGAATGGCGTTCCTTGCATTCAACTTCTTAATCTCCTCTGTGGCACTATTCTGGGCGTTGATTAGTTGTGAGATCGTCGAAGTGCTTCCCATTCCTCCAACATTTTCAATACATTCACATTCATCCGGTGTAGTTTTTGAGAAGGTTCGTTTCCTGGTCCCCATCTCTATTCCCTGCCTGTTTCCACCATTATTAAAGTACATGGCAGTAATAGCATCTGAGGACCATGTCCACTTAAGAGATTTCTCAACATCATTTTTACTTTCTCCAATTCTGCTTAAAGCTGCCTATTTTTCTCAAGCTCAGCACACAGACTAGTTTTCACATTATTTAGCTCATTTTCAAGTTTAATATATGCCTCACTAGCTACTTACTTCCCTTTTTCAAAATTTCCAGGCCTACATTCTGCTTTAAGTCCCTCAATTGTTTCCTCTAGGTCTACGATTACCCCTAAGAAATCATCTCTTTCTTGCTCAGTAATGGCAACTTTCTCCATTAAGGCATTCTTTTCTTTACTAAAGTTCTTTGTAATTTCTTTCAAGTCAACTACAACTATCATTAAATCATCTCTTTCATGTTCTACACTAGCAATTTTTTCTGTTAGAAACTCCTTCTCATTTTTCAAATTTTCTATAGTTTCCTTCAGGTCAACTACACAAACCACCAAGTCATCTCTAGTCTGCTCAGCATCTCCTAACTCTATGGTCAAGGCATCATTATCACTCACAAGACTATGATATGCATCAATCAAAACATTAGCTAATGACATGAGTTTCTTGGGAGAGTAGGATTTTAGATTCCTCTGAACATCCCTAAAGTTTACCTCATCATTGTCATCATCTTCATCATCGTCTGACTGAGCCATCAAAGCAAATATTGAGTCATATTCATTTGCTTCATTTTCAACTGCCATCATAGAACTATCACCTGCATCATTTTCTTCTTCTGATTCACTGGAGGAGTCTCCCCATGCTGTAAGATCTTGCTTCACAACACTGTCAGCTACGTTTTTCCTTTTGAAGCATTTGTCAGGAACCGAGTTCCTCTTGGCTGCTTTATCAGAGTTGTGCTTGAAATGCTCTTGCTTTAGAAGAGGACAGTCCTTGATGAAATGCCTTGGCTTTCCACACTTATGACAGAGGTCATAATTCTTTGGTTTGCTGGAACTGCCTCTCTTTGGTATACCTCCATTTCTTCGAACCATTTTCTGAAACCTTCTGGTAAGGTATGCCATTTCACTATCCTCCTTACTCGAATCATTGTTTTCAGCTTTGAGTACCAGGTTCTTCTCCTTCTTTGGTTCTCTTCTTTCACTGTCCTTCTTTCTCTTCATCTCGTAGGTTTTCAGATTCCCAACTAGCTCGTCCATAGTCAATGTCTGCAGATCCTTGGCTTCAGTGATAGCATTCACCTTACTTTCCCAGGAGCTGGGTAAAACGCTAAGAACTTTCCTCGCGAGCTTGTTCCTAGGAATGATTTCTCCAAGAGAGTGTAGCTAATTTATAATGGAAGTGAATCGAGTATGCGTGTCTTGAATGGATTCATCATCCTTCATTCTAAAGAGCTCATACTCAGTGATGAGCATATCGATCTTGGACTGCTTTACTTGAGTAGTTCCTTCATGTGCCGTTTGTAAAGCTTCCCATATCTCCTTGGCAGACTGAGAGGCTGAAATCCTGTTATATTCATCAGGTCCTATACCACACACCAAAATCTTTTTGGCGCGAAAGCTCTTCTCTACAGCTTTCCTGTCAGCGTCATTGTACTCCTTCCTGGTTTTCGGCACCATTACAGCAGGTTATCCTACCTTCTTTGGTGGGATGTATGGACCATCACAAATAACATCCCCGAACTCGGAGTCTTCTGCCATTATAAAGTCATGCATTCGAGTCTTCCACCACCCATAGTATTGGTCGTTGAATCTTGGGGGCCTGTAAGTTGATTGTCCTTCCTCGAAGTTTGGTGGAGCAGCCATGGTGAGGATCATTTCTAGGTGTTAACCTTTTAGAAAGAACCCGCTCTGATACCAATTGATAAAATGTATGAGTCCACCAAACTATATAGAGACCTGGTCCTATAACAGTTCCCACAGAACTAGCTAATCTAATAGTAAGTAAATGACACGAGAGATTTTTACGTGGAAAAACCCCTGCTTAAGGGGATAAAAAACCACGACCTACACTGGTAGGATTTCAACTGCACTACTGAGCAATTTAGATTACAACCTATTGCAACCTAGGAATTAAACTCTTAATCCCTCACTAACTTGCAATACACCTATTACAAACCACTTTGAAATACACCTATTACAAAGACTTCAACTCATGACTAACTCTAGTCATGACACAAGCTCTACGGGTTTGTGGTTTTTGAGGTTCCTAATTTAAGCTTCTAGATAAGCAAAGTAGAAATTACAATAAATAAAAAATACAAAGATACAACTCAACCAAGGACATACAAAAGACTTGTTATGGAGTTGGTCTGTAGTAGTGTTGCACTTTGTTCTTGATGCACTTGTGACTTCAATGCTAGATAATCAGATCTTGAATGCTTTTCTATCACAAGTGTTCAAGTGATGTTTTGTTGTAATGCTTCTTGTTAATATCCTTTGAATGAAATCACTTAGATGATGTAAATACTTGATTGGTAAAAAGCCCTTCCCAATGGGAAGTGACTGTTGCACTGTTTCTGCACTGTAGCATGTACAGTGCAGGCAGTCACTTTCCAGCTGTAGAGTTGACTTCGTATTGCTGTCAGGAAAACTCCAAGGGATCAGGTCCCTGAGTTGGTTCTTTTCTATCTGAAGTCATACAGCTCAGATTAGCTTAAGTCCATTGATGGATAAATATACCAAGTGTGCAATAGGTCCTTTATCTGGTTCTTGACAATAAGTTTGTTAGATCATCAAAACATAAATCTAAGATACTTTAAACCCATCAAATGTTTTAAAAGGCATTTTTGAGGTGAGCCCTGGGGCAAGGCGCACCAAAACTTTTCCGAGGCGATGGTCTCAAGAGGCATACGCTCAGTAATTCGGGGCGTACGACTTAATACCCAAAATCTCAAAAGTCAGCTTGTAATTACCCAAAGTTTTAAAAAGAAACTGAAACGTTAAATTTAAAAGTCAAGACCTTTTCTTATTAATAGAAGTCCTAATTTATGGTATTTTTCAAGTCTTTATCTTGTCTGCTAGTTTACTACTATCTCCCAAGAGCAACGATGGCCAATTTTTTTTTTATTTTTTTATTTTTTTTGCAAATACAAAGAAAACTTCATTCTCCTCTATCACCAAGTTCAAAATCCAAATTGCAAGTAGTCATCCTTTTTGTTCCTTCATGTCGAAAACTTTATTCTTTTCAACTCAAGTTACTTGTGCTTGTAAGTAGCATATAATGGATTGTTTTGATAATTTTTATGTGAGGATGGAGTACATCTATATATAGTTTTCACTTATTTATAGTTTTCTTCAATTTCTATACAATTTTACTTATTTAAAAATATTTACTATAATTATATTATTTTATAAAATATTAAAAGTTAAATTCTCATGGGGTTTACGCCCCGTGCCTCACAGCTTACGCCTCGCTGAGGCATATCTAAAATGTATCGTCTTACGCCCACACCCTTTAAAACAGTGTTTGCTAATTTAGTTAATTAATAATATCTAGTTTGGATTTATAGTTAAATTCATATAGGAATAAACTTTTCAATTTTTAGTCAAGTAGGTTTCGTACTATTATAAAAAAGTGTGACTAGCTATTTTCATGTGTGAAAATTGTGGAGAATTATAGAGGCCATAGATTTCGATTAAAATATTTTTCATCAAATATAAAGGGGAGAATTATAGAAATCGTGTAAAAATTTATGGTATTCTAGTAAATTATTTTCCTTTCATAGGAGAAGGGGTTAATCTACATCATAATTTACTGTAGGCCTCATCGCTATTTCCAATGATCAACACAGTGTCTTTTTTCTTCTTCCTATTAATGCTACCAATTAATAATCTCTCCATTGTAGTGTTTTTTAAAAAAAAAAATCAAATAAAAATTATTTCCCCTGATTTAGTTTAAGTCTTCTTGTCAAAGTAATACATGTGTCTTTACATAAAGTTTCTTATTATTTATTTGTGACTTAATGACTAATCTGAGATTTAAAAAAAAATTCTCTCTGAGAAAGGGTTTCCTCTGAAACTATTAATTGGAAGAAAGAAATTGAAATGTGAACTAATATCTACACACTAGGAAAAACGGTTAGTATATAAGAGTGAGATACGGAAAACGGTTGGCGGACAAATGGCGCCAACACAGAGAAGAAAAAAGGAAGTCTTTTCCATTATTTTCCACCCGTCAAAAACAAAACACAAGCAGTTTCTCTCTTTCTTTCACTTTCTCTTTTTCTCTGCAAATTTCGATTTCGATTTTTCTCCTACTGATGTGCAATGCCTGTGGTACTCTCTATTATTCCCAAAGGTACAACAATGATACTTCAATATCTAATTTTGTCCAATTTCCTTTTTACAGTGATGCCAATTCGTTATATATGTTTCTATTTTCCGCTGTTATTTTATTATCATGGATCTCAAACCGCTTACGCTGCAGAATTAAATTATATTTGGAAACTCTCATTTTTTATAAAATTCCATTTTGATACAGTTTAATTTTTGCAAGGCTTATAGTTTATGTATTGGCAAGACAACCTCATGCATACATTATTATATTCTTTTGAATCAGTTGATTTATTGTATAGTAATGACTTATGAATATCAAACATGATATTTACTTGCCAGATCCCGTTAGATGTCAGGTCGGATTTTCCCTTAAGAAATCATTCTTTTGATTTTTTTTTCCCAATGTTCAGTTGGGTATAAAGAGTAGGTGACATGATAATTGTACAAAGTTTAAGATAAGTATAAATTTCCCCGCACCCAGTGATTACAACAAACCATACTAATTTACTATGGTTAAGTTATAAACTAAGCAGAGAATGTGTATTAATTAACGAATTTTCTTTTATAATAAGAGTGGTATGTCAAAACATGTCATGTATTCATTGAATTGGTGTAAACACCGGGTACAGATAAGTTTTTTTACCAGATAAGATAGGTAGTACAGTAATGTTTTTGTGATATTTTTGGGTATTAAGAGTTGACAATAATGTTCAAGTGTTGTTTGAAGTGAGACTGGAAAAGAGTTTGGGTTACTTCTGTCTATAGTAAGGAAGTTATTTTCTCCATTTTGGTAGAAAATAGTTTCATTAGAAAAGACATTTTCTAGATTTTAAGGTAGACAAACACTATATTTCCCTTGATGAAACTATTTTCTATCCCCCCAAACACATAAGTGGAAATGACTTCAATCTAAAGAGGACTCTCCAAAATTAAAACTGTAACTTTATTGGTCTCAATGATACTTCTTGTTGTATTGCCATTGCTATGCCTAATCACCCTTTGGCTAATTTGGTTTAATTGTATATATCAGGTGTACGATGTTGGAAAACTCTAACTCAATTAGGATGTAGTACCTGTAGCTGATCATTGACAAAGAGGAATACTACTATACATGGGAAAGGGTTTGCGCCTTCGAGATTCTAGTTTTACGAGAGAAAGTAATCCTCCAGGATGCTTGTTTGGGATACTTCATCATTTAAATCACCATCATCATCGGTGGCATCTAGTCCGAAAACGCCTCCCGAACATAAGGCAGGGTGGTGGAAAGCATCTTCCTGGTGAGAAAAGCATTAGTTGTTTATCTATATCTTTTTTCATACTATAGCATTTAACAAAATAAAGGGGTTTGTGTACAAGAATTAAAGGTTTAATGTTACATGAGTAACTATACTCCTCAATTGTTGTTATTAAGCCTATTGATTGTGATCGAGAATTAGAGTAGAAGGTTAGTAGGTAGTCGAGCATTTACTTTTTCTTTCCCGTAGCAGTAGTTTTAGTGTTAGTATGACATCTTTTTATTCTTAGATTGTTATCACTACCTACTGTTTGATTGCTATCTTTCGCTTCCGTTTTCTTAATGTCTTCTTGTTGTTGTTGTTATTGTTTGTTGCCGCCGTTTTTTTTCATTTTTTCTTTAGCCGGGGATCTAACGAAAACAACCTCCCTGCCCTCCCCGGCTAGGGGTAAGATCTATGTACACCCTACCATCCCCAAACCCCACTTGTGGGAATCCACTGGGTTTTGTTGTTGTTGTAAGCCTATTGATTGTGAAGCAGTTTGTCCATATTCTCCTAACCCTTTTAGTTATTGGATCTAACAAGATTTGACACTTTGAACAAGTTAGTGATAACATGGTGTTTATATACTAACTGATTCCTTGTTTCCAGCGGCAGGAGATCTTGGAAGTAATGCAACTGCTACCGATTCTGCTAATACTCCAGAAAAAGTAGACGCCAAAGCGGATGATTCCCCTGTAAGTTTCTGCATCATATAACTGAACCTGCTTCAATTGTTTTGTGTATTGCTTCTTCTGATACATGTGCAAATAGACATACCTGTGTAAACATTAGCACATAACTGTATATGTTAACAAATTTTACTATTTTCAGACTGTAGTGAAAACAGCAGGGACACAGCCCAGAAGTTCGATAAAATCTCGTTTAAAAGCTTTGATAACAAAAGAGCTACTATCTAGAAAAAGGGTCAGACATCGCCGAAGTTTGTCCTATCCTACAAGGACACCGCTGGAACAAACTGCTTCTATTGATTATCTAGACCCTGCAAATGTAGATCCTTCTCCAAAAATTCCTTTAAATGACGAGACTTTGCAGCATCGTGAGAACAAGTATTCTTCCGTTGCCAGTTTGTTAGATCCACCCTTGCCGGGGAAAAGAAAGGATGTTGTTACCACCAACGACGCATGTGAGTTGTGTGCTGGTATGCTCGATGTGAATCACTTAAAGCAATGTGATACTAACAAGAATGGGAAGCAACCAATTACAGACTTCACTCTCCGTCGTACACAATCACTTTATTTTAGAGAGAGGACCAAAAATGCTTCAACTGAAGAGTCAAAGCTATTTTTGGATGCTCTTGATTTACTAAACATGAGAGAGGAGGTATTCCTAAAAATATTAAAGGACCCTAATTCTTCGTTAGCGCATCAGTTACATGGTACACAGGCATCCAAAGGCTTAACCAAGTCCGTGTCATTTCCTTCCCGTTTCTCACTGGGAAAAATTGTCAGGTCAAGCAATCATAAGAGCAGTCAAGACAATTCAGTAACATCAACAAATGTGAATAGCGAGGATGAAGTTGCAAAAGGTGTGCCGATAAGTTCACCTGTTGCCAAACAGAATCGGCATCAAAGTAAACTTGTCCTTGAGCGTTTCAAGAACTTGAGGAAGAAAATAAGACATATGCTTAAGGAGAGCAATAAGGAGAAGCGTCGAATTGTCATGGATGCTGTCCTTCATAAGGTTCTAAATGATCGTAGCTCATTCAAGGACGTTAAACAAGGAACCAATTTACCTGAGAAGCCATCTGCAGATGGAAATGACACCAGTCACTACTCTTCTCCATTTAGCAAGAGCCAAATGAAATGCTATTCAAGAACGTCGTCGCTCAATGAATCTTTAGACAGATATAATAGATTACTTGAATCCTGCTTCAGTAGGGAAGAAAAACAACACAGCTCTGAAATGTCAAGTTTCAGAGCATCAAGATCACCCTCACCGGCTAGAAGTAGACCCATTGTCCTGGACAGGATTCTGTCTTTGCCTGATCTTAGAAATTATCCTTCTTTCCGAATTGAGGACACTCCCGAAGTCAGTTATTCAGAAACACTAGATACAGCTGCATCGACTGAATCGAGCAACAGCTTAAAACTGAAGTCCCTGGATTTTATTCCTTTAGGTTCAGAAAAGCAAACTAAACAAGATTCAAGTTCAGACTCCAAGATTCCTGAAGATTTTGTTGATGTCAATGAGATTTCCGATGACTTATATGGCTTAAACACAGAGGAAAACTTTTTTCCGGTTGAATGCAATATGGAGGCCACTTCATCTCCTAATTCCAAACTAGATAATTCAATTCCTACTCCTTTGCCTGGTATGAAATTTCAGGAAGCAGATACTGTCTCAGAAGAGCTCTCCACATTTGAAGGTATTATTTTGAGGCAACCTTACATTTTACTTTCTTCCCTCGTTCCCGTTTATCTTTCTTGACAGTAATATACAATACTCAAATGCTTCCCACAACAAGTCCTCATTTTTGCAATTTTTTTCTAATACCTGTTTAAAACATCTGCTGCACTGTTTTCCTTAGCTAACTAACAGAATGAACCTTACATGGATTCCGCAGGTATATCAGAAAATGCATTAGACACCGATGAAGAAGGACTATTGGCCAATGAACAGAAGAAAAGTCTTTTCCAAGTTCAAGTGGATGAAAGAAATAAAGCTGAATTCAATTATGTAAAAGATGTGTTGGAATTATCTGGCTTTAGTGGAAATATATTTATGATGAACCCTTCTTCAGTGTTAGAGGAAATGGAAGGATGTTTGCTTGATCAACCCGAGAGTTCAGGATATGCTGAATATGGAAACTGTGATCAACTTCTTCTGTTTGATTTAATCAATGAGGTCTTATTACAACTTTATGAGAGATCATCTTTATACTGGCCAAGGTCTTTAACGACTCGTTCTTATATCCATCCAACACCTGTGGCCTACCATCTGCTTGAGGAAGTGTGGACGGATATAAGCTGGTGTCTCAGCTTCAAGCTGGAGAATGATCTATCACTTGATGATGCTATGAGCCACGATCTTGCAAAACGCGACAATTGGATGAACCTGCAGTTTGATGCCGAGTGTGTTGGATTGGAGCTCGAGGATCTCATATTCGATGATCTTTTAGATGAGCTAATATTCATTGATGTTTATTAAGGCCAGATCAGGTACCTTTAAGTACGTGCAATATTAGTTCCTGGGTAGGTGTATTAACATTTCAGGTCCGCTACTACCAACACCCGGATCTGCACAAAAATGTGTATGAGTACGGGGCAACATGTACTCAGTAAGTATCAAGACTAACTTCGGTGAAGTAGTGACGGGGTTTAAGTCATATGATACTCACTAGTCAAAGAACCTAATAATAGGAAAAAAGAATGCTGAGTTAATATGGCTTTAAAAAATTTCTTTCGGACTATAGATATAGTAAATTAAGCTTGAGAGAGTATATTAGAATTTTCAATTGAGATTTGTAGTATTAGCAAGAATTATAATTAGGACAAGCTTCCCTTAGCAAAATCAGCAATTTAGCTTGGTTCCATTGAAAGCACCAATAGATATAAGTTAGCTTAATCTTCCTGACATTCAGTCCCTTGTTCAAGTGAAGATCTGTATATGGTTGTGTAATGTACTTATTGATTATGATTGTGTAAGGATGTTCATCTGTAAGTGAATATTTAAGTGAATAAAGTATTTCTTATCTTTGATTCACTATAAGCTTTGAGAATAATGAAAAATTATCTACAGGTATCTTATCTTTGAAGATTAAGTTCGATATTACATTGGATTATGCACTTTTCCTTCTTTTTCATCATTGGATCATGCACTTTATTGTGGTTAAAATAGAGCTCTTTCTTTTTCTTTTTTTTTAAAAACCCTTGTATTTTGGCTCAAGTGATGAGGGAAAGATATGAAACATAACTTTGAGCCACAAGTATCTATGATCTCAAAAAGTACCTTTTGATTAATCCTACGACTACAGAGAAAAGTTGACTCAGTGCAAAGTGCCCGTCTAGCTCAGTTGGTAGAGCGCAAGGCTCTTAACCTTGTGGTCGTGGGTTCGAGCCCCACGGTGGGTGTGTTACCTTTTTACTTTTTTAATACACGATAGTAAAGTTATAAGATATCACTGATTGTTGTTTTGTAAATTTTCATTATAGCGAATAAATTCAGTGTCTTAATTCTCCAACACATCCACTACCCAAGACAGTTGCGTTAGCTCATCGGATCAAGGAACATAAAATAAAAGAATTATTTTTAATAAAAATTTTAAAAAAGGTTCGAGGTTAGGAAGATAAATTGGTTGGAGCTGGAGGGGGGAGTGCAGGAGTACGCTGAGAAAAACTCAAAATCTAACATCGCTTTTCAACATATTGTTAATTACGTCTGAATTTACATTTTCAGTGTCAGAAGGGGGTTGGCGAGGAGGGGGAAGGATATCGTATTAATAATCCATATACCTACTTAGACTATAATTTACACCTTTAGGAAACCAGTTGAATGGATCAAAACTACAATAGATATATTTACAATCTCTGTACAGCAATGCGTGATAGTCAGCCGCTCCACCAAAGTCACGAAACATCCCTTTCCGATAAAAGCAAATCCTACTTCTCTGCCGCAGATGTCAACGCCTATTTATCTGCCACATGTTTATACTTCAGTAAAATAACTACGCAAAACATGCCATAAATTAGCAAATCTGAACCATCAAGGGATTTTTTCTCTTTTTCCTTGTGAAGACAAGAACAAAGTAACACAGGAAAAAATAATGACCGGATTGATCAGGTGCCTGCAAGTTGCAGTAACGTAGACAGTCAAAACAAGGGAAGAATCAGAGGGAGGCACTAAGAAGCTTTTCGCCAGCAACATTTTGTAACATTTTTTAGCAGAAAATCTCAATGCAGAAGCAGCAGTAGGGACTGCAACATGAATGTTGGGAATGGGATGGCAATGAGACAGGTCCATCTCACCCACGCATGAATGAAAGTGGAGAGAGTACTTAGCAGGTCAATATTGTTTTTGTTTCTTTTTATTTAGCAGCATATCTATCACCAAGTTCAGCTCAACTTAACAAAACTATTCTAGACGTCTTCTATTAGTAATTTTCCGTGTTAAACTTTTCTGATTCTTAACAAACTATTATGCTTTGATTAAGGTTTCGAAAACTAAATTAAATCTAGTGAAACATCAGATTAGATTGTAATATTGCAAACTCATCTTGAAGTGCATAACATATCAGCTAAGGTTACCCTGCCCCCGGAATTACCCTGGCAGAAACTATGCAACTGTCTTCGTTTTGATTACCTGTCCAACTATCATTCAGAAATTTCAGTTTTCTTTAACTATTACTGAGCAAATTGGATAATGATTTTGGAACATAGGGATTAAAATGGCAAAGCAATAAATGCTTACTTGGACTCCCTTGGAAACCAGATGCAAACAAAAAAATCAAATTTGAGGACACTCGTCTAGCTCAACTTTATAGATAATTAAATACTAAAAACTAACATAACAGAACTTAAGGCTAGCCNGGGAATGAATGAAAAGAAATATGTTACTTCAAGCGATTCAAATTTTTACCATCAGTTTAGAAAAGGAACAGAGGGGCTGATGCAGTGTAGTCCAGTCATTTTAATCATATTTCACAGGTCAATTCATATACTAGGGTTTTGGATGGCTAAAGATTTCCAAGAGAACTACAAATTTAAAGATCTAATAACCCTCACCCACCCCACCCCCCACAAAATCCATGTGGATTAGAAAAAACAAACCAGGAATAAACCTATTTGCATAGATTTTTCATATCTTTTGGTCCTCATATGAAACCTCAAAAGGAAAACATCTTCTATTTGGCCCATTTCATCGCAATACCCAATAATTTGTCTCTTAAGATAAAACTAGGGGTCTCTAAAATTAGATGTTCTCTAAATCTCACTCTTATCCATAAATTGACATACAAACTCTAACCAAACTAAAACCAAAATAAGAAGACTTCTGGCAAACAGTATCTGAAACCAGTACTCGCTAAAATCATGTAAAACTTGGACCTAACAGTCACAGACAAGGATGCCAAATATCCCTGTATTCAGAATCAAGTTGGTCTAAGACCTCTGATTTTTCCACGAGGGCTCCTAAAATGCCCTACTATGCAGAAAATCCAAATAGAATGCCTGTCCTGGCCCAAGATTGCATTGTTTATTGTAAAATCTCATTGACCAATTTTGAGGCTCCACCTAGAATTTTGGTGCCAAGTCTGGAGTTCAATTGTTGGAAACCATTTTTTAAAATCTCAGCCACTTCACTAACATGGTTTAAGGCACTTCACCTTAAGTTTTTTAGCTCAGGCACTTCATTAACAGTGTTAACTTGAAATATCAGGAAAGGTAAATTAACTTTGAACCAAAAAAAGGAATATAAGAACCATTAATCACGAATAATCACAAAAAGGAACTGTCTGGAGAATCCTGCTTCCAAGACAAGCAAATGAAACTGATCTATTCACACATTGCATTACATCTGAAGCAAACGCTTCTCAGAATAGGAAAACGTCAAAATTATAGACTAACCTCGATAATCTGTATATTAGACAGTAGCAGACCGCAGAACATTGGACATGCTGTGTATGAGTCAAAACTCAGAACCAGACAGCTGATAACTTTTTACCATCTTTGACTATTTCCTGGGACCTAGTTAACCTGCAAGAGTCCAGAAAAGAATAATGATAAACTACCTGTCAGTAAGTAAAGACAAATATACAGAATATGGCGATCATGAAACGACCTTTACCAGACCTTACGAAACAGTCGAACTAAAGCATGAAAAAAGTGCCAATATTCGTCGGACGAAGCACCTTTGAACTACGATCCAGTCCATGAGAAGCCACCTAAATAGTTGATTCAAACAAATTAGCAAGCTGCTATAACTAACAACATATGGAATAACTAGACGTATGGAATAAAGATAAATGCGATCCAATGTCTCTCAGACAAAAGCGCCAGATTTAAAGCAATAGTTATGCTAATTTAGATTTCAGAACTCAGAAGTACAGGACAAAATTTCCTTGCTATGATGAGATAATCATGGTAGTTACTAACATCAAAGAAGAGGACAACTGATAGAGAGAAGGGGAATAAGAAAAAGTAGAAAAATGTTAGAAGACAACACAGTACAAGACATGCAATTACTATAAGTCTAGTTTAGGCACATTTGGCAGTAGAGAACCATGAACGTTGTGAAACGAGAAAAAATGGCTCTTAACATCTTACCTGCTCAATTTTCAGTACATTATATATGTATGAAAGAGCATTTAATCGTCTAAGCAAAATGAGGTCCCTAAGCAGTGGCTAACTGTTTGCACTTTAAGACATTTAAAAGGTCAGAGGTGCACATGGAGTACATAATTAACTCTAGCTTAAGCCATACTACTTCTTTCTGTTCCTTCAACAGCTTTTTCCATTAAATCCATAATAATCAGAGAAGGAAGATTCTCTATTTCTCTTTTCCTCCATAGATCGGGGTCATTTTTTTTACCCCATTGTCTTGCTTTATCTCCAAGGACATTAATCAGGCCACCTAACAAATAGCACAACAAGAGGAACTGCCTCCAAAGACATTAATCAGACCACCTAACAAATAGTACAACAATAGAAACTCAGTCACCGCAGCAGTAAATTATGCAAAGTTCTTTCTATACCATATGAGTTAAGGCAGCATAGCGTTCCTCATTTAGATACAATGGCTTCCCACGATGCATTTCGCTATCCTGCAAGTATAAAGAGAAAGTTTAAGATCCAAATGATAAACACCAAATTCCATAGCACTGCACATGTATATCCATCCACACTAGTCTCGACAAGGATTAAAAATAATTGACCCACAAAAGAAGGAAATACAAAACAAGGGGGGAAAAACCCACTTATCCTTCGGATCCTTAGAAATATCTTATGACAGATTAAGTTAGACTGTCACAAATTGGATACTTTGGAGACATTTCCTAACATGAATTTGAGTGAGTCCAAATTTCTTCTCACTTTTTGACTCAAAATATAAGACTAAATAAATAACAAAAACAAAAAAGCTAAAGATGATATGAGGGTACAAGAAACTTAGAAAGAAACTTTTCTTCACATAAAAAAAGTACATAACAAGATTGTTCCAGATTTTATTTTGAGTTTGGCAGTTCAAAATAGCGGGCAACCTTTTAAATAGAACCTACACTGCCACTTGATGCTTTTGCATCTCTAATCCTTCACATGTTTGAGTACTGTGCTATTTTGACTTTCATCTTCTTCTTTTTTTGGTGTAGTTCTTTTACTCCTATACATCTTCCATGGTACTCCACTTCCACATTTTTAAGTTTGTCAATTTTCAGTTGTGTGGTATTTTCATAACGTGCTTCATGTCATGGGCGGCTTTCCAACCATGCCCCATGACCCCTTGGACGCGCCCCGTGGCGTCCTGG